TAAAGCTTCTTGTTTTTAATTCTTAATGAGAAATGAAGGTTGCAGCGAGCACTACTGTGGGCCAGGGAATGGTCACTGATAAGTATTCACACATACAAATCTCGTTCCAGCAAGACTTTTTTTTTTAATAAGGCAGTGTAAAGAACAGCGATGCACTATAACCCAAAGCAACAATGAAAGACAATTTTTGGATGCTAATGGTTACTCTACTTTACACTTTGCTTTTGTTTATAGAAGGACATGCAGTGATATGTGTTTTAGCAGTGTATTCAATATGTATTCACTTAGCTAGGTTGTATCATTTATCTTTACATTCTTTTGATATAAATGCCTGTTTTTGAATACTGAGCTAATCCTTGTAGCAACAGGTCTTTCCTGAACTTACCATCAGAAAGAACATTTCACTTATTTAGACTTCCTCATGGAGTTTTCTGTAATAATTATACAAACCCATTAAAGAAGACTTTGGTGTAGACAAGCTTTTAGTAAGCCCTCCTGGCCTGCTTTTGGCCCTGTGTCTGTGAGCCATATAGCCCATGGTTGTAACAGTTGTCCCCTGGCATGATATCACTTTGAGGATGCCTTCTACTTGACAACTTTTACATCTGCAGATGTATGCATAGAGATGAGTGAAATTTACCTGTTGTGGGTGCAGCTTTAGAAGCGTATTGCATATGAAGCAGGAGGGAATCTTCGGAGCAAAGTCACAGCATAGGAGGACTTCAGTTACTTCACTGAGCTATAAACATTGCATGTGTAGAGGTAGGCAGGTCCCCAGTTCTTTAGGATAATGAGAGTGACTATTGACCACCGCTGTAACTGCTTATGAGGCTGAGTAATTTGTACATGCTTATAGCAGATCTCCAGGATTTTCAAAAGTTAACCCTTGCAGTGGGGCTACCCCCGCACTACAAGAGATAACTGCTTGTTTTGTTCTAGGGAATGGAATAAAGAAGATATATTCACCTGATCCTTGATCTTGTGGCAGTGACCACCCACATCTTTCTCCCTCTTCTCAGACTGTGGAACATCCCTTGGTGTCCACACATCTAATGCAGGTGAATGGACCTTGTATAGACGTGATGATGACAGTGGGGCTTTGACTGCCAGAGTCCAGGCGAAAAAAGGCTGTGGGGAATGGTCTAGCAACCAGATGGGACCGAGGATCAGGTGAGTATATCTTGTTTATTTTAGAGCCTTGACCAAAACAAGCAGGTAACCCTTGCAGTGGGGGTTAGCCCCACTGCAAGGAGTAATTCTTAAAATGCCTGGAGTTCTTCTTTAAGTCATAAGGACAGATAAACAGGCAGATGACCATATGCTCATTTTGGATAGGGATAGCTCAAGATACAAGTGATACACTTTACAAAGAATATACAAAAAACTGTATTAAAAACATATCTATATATAGTAAAGGCTCTGACAACATATATATTTTATCATAAGATTTATAATAGTACTTCTTTAAATAGGGAACATAGTTTATAATGTGTCCACAACAAATGAGTGTAGTAGAGGCTATGCTACAATGAGCCTCATTAATAAAAGTAGAACATGTCCTGTTGCTTGTGCCTACCGGTCAGGTTTACCTGCTTATGCTTGAATGGAAAATATGATTTGATGGTTTTGGCAATACAAAACATGAGACCTGCCAAAAATGTATATTTTCAGTGTGGAGAGAGAGGGGGGATTGAAATATTTGTCAATTTAATGTTGCTGTCTGTGGCCCATTGGTGAAATATCTGGAGTTGCCACCAGAACAGGAAGAGAGGTGAAATCTACCAATGGGGAT